ACCATATATGGGATCAGTTGCAATTGTAATGACTGATGGTAAAATGAAATATGTTATGGGTACACTACATGCCATAGCTGGTTCCCTTGCGGTAATTCTGGCAACTTTGGCAATTTTCTCAACAATTAACACATATAAAACTATAAAAAGTGAAGAAAGAGAACAAATGAATTTCGAAGCACCATAAAAAAGGTAGGAATTTTCCAAATATTAAATTAAATGGATGAGAATATATTTAATAATTGGGCTAAATAAGACCATACTGTGTGAACCAGTTGCATGGTTAAAAATATAATAATGACAACAATTCTTAACTTAATATTCTATAGAAGGCCTAAAATTATCAACACATGTCTAATCTAGCTTTGCTGCCCGGTTGACTGTATACAGTATATATAAAACAAAAATTCTTATTCTCTCTTTTTTTTTGTTTATGTAAATAAAATAATATTATTATTATATATTTACTAAAAAAAAAGAAATATAGTGTATAGTGTCTCACCTAGTTGTATTTGGGGGGATAGAGATTCGACTCTTTGGTCCCGCATCTGAACTGTTAATGAACTGGTGTATAGATTACTGAGTCAATTGGTTTCTATCATATCTACATTTGAAACTGCGTATGGAGTCTGCCTCCTCATCATCATTGCCTAATGCATTCCATCTGTTAGGTGCGCTGACACTTTTCTTTCTACACTTAAGTTTTCCAAAGATTCACCAAACATTGACCAAAAACACGATTCCTTTCTACCCTCAGATTTCAAGAAATCTCTTATCTGTTGAATTTTTTTCTTATAACTGAGTCAAGAAAAAAAATAGTAATAACAACAACTCCCAACTTAAAATAATATTCTCTAGGATGCCTAAAATTGTCCACGCATGTCTAATCCAGCTCTGCGGCCTGGGTGACTGTATACAGTATATATACTAAACTGTTTTTCTTTCTTATTTTGCTTTAGTAAATAAAATAATATTACTGTTATTTAATACTTACTAAGAAAACAAAAACAAATTGAGATTATAGTTTCATATATATACACTGGTTAAATTTTTATTTTCGTCGAATGTGTGTGTGTGTGTGTGTGTACTCACCAGTTGTGCTTGGGGTGGAGGATTAAGCTTAGGTTCTTTGGTCCCGCCTCTTAACTGTCAATAAACCGGTGTGTAGATTCCTGAGCCCATTGGACTCTATCATATCTACATTTGAAACTGTGTATGGAGTCTGCCTACATTGGTCAATGCATTTTGTCTGTTAGGTACTTATCATTGTTATATATTTTTCTTGACTCAGTTGTAAGAGAGAAATACCCCAGATAAGAGATTTCATGAAATCTGAGGGTTGAAAGGAATCGTGTTGTTGGTTAATGTTTGGTGAATCTTTGTAAAACACTGCAATAGAAAATATATTTTCATTAAGATGAGACTTGGGGTAATAATGTACAATATAACGAGAGCCGAGAGATTTTAGACTGGCCTCTTTATCATTAATATTGTTTGTTCTTTTTTTATTTACTAACTGATGAGGATCCCAATTACCCTGCAGAACTTTACATATAAGCTGAGAAGATGGTATCACTAATATAAGCTCTAAGAGTAAAAGGAGAATTGAGGACCAATGATAAGCTACAACTAAACCACTGTCAGGAAGTCTAAAGATATTAATCACATGAGGTGAATTAAAAACAGGTTGTATTTTAGGTTTGAGTATCATAGTTGCAATCCAACCTGGATTGGTAACCATTTCAGAAAAGGCAGAGACTGAAGTTGGAATAACCCAGTTGCATGGTAAATCAGAGGTGAAAAATGAAAATGACACTATACCTTTCTTTTGCTTCTCGATATCATAACCTAAGAGCATGAGACAAGGTAGTTGACATAGTAGACATCTTCCTCCACAATAATCATTAGGATTAACGAGTGATTTATGTATGTCTGCAGTATTTGAGGAAATTGGTAACTATTTGAAAAAAAAACCTTGGTGTCGTGTAGTGGGAGGTAATAATAATCATCCTTATTATTGTCCAGGGTATTATTACACCAAGACCAACTTTCATAGGATAAAGGCATGTTAGTAAAAGCACATTCTTTTAAATAATTTTCTTGTTTTTGATATTTAAACATTCCTTAAATTTTGAAGGATATATTTTTGGTAATAGTTTATTGTAAAAACTGGGTCATTATCGAGGATCAAATAATGTTGCACATCGATTAAAAAAAATAACGCAACCATAATTGTGGTTAATATAATTAAAAAAGTAGGGGATGAACATTTTGATTTGCTACTGCATTATGGGAAATGTGTGGGCAAGAATTTACTTAGACATAGCAAAGTGTTAAATAGTCAAATTCGCTTTTATTTCACCGTTATCAGTTGTAAATTTAACTTTTAATTTAGATGACTGCTTATTTTTTCTTAGTAAACCTGCTTCCACATATGAATTTACATCATATAAATTTATTGATTGTGGTTTATTATTATTATTATTATTATTATTTTCTATTATATATAAATTTGCATATTTCACATTTGCCTCACTATGCAATTTTTTAATTAAAATACTCACTCAAGCAGTAATATGTGTCATATCTTGATTAAAGGTGAGGAATAGGATGATGGAGGAAAAATATAGAAGTTTGTATTAGTTATATTTATTAAATCAGGTATAGTTTGCCCAGATATATACTGCATATTAATGGTTTTTAAATATATATAATGAGAAAGCAGCTTCTAATGAAACTGGGTTTTAGGCTATAAATCTCAAAAGGATAGAGTACCTTAGGCTGAAATCTAAAATTTACTGATATTACGTTCTTCAACTTGTTTATGAGGAAGATTTTTCATGTAATCTTAAAGTTGATTATATATTTACTTCCTCACATAATATCTAAGTAAAAAAAATGTGTCGTCAACCCCTAGTAATTTTTCCTTAATTTTATATACAAATGGCTAGTTTTATATACATATGTAATGTTTTATATACCACAGTATATAAAATCCCCGGGCCTTTTATATCCCCGAGTAAATAAAATTAAAATGACCCTATGGGAGGGCCAAAAAATGAGGGAAGTAAACTTTATCTAATATCTGGGGGATGTTTATATAGCGACTATTTCATCTGACAAAGAACCCTCAGAAAGATAGAGTAGAAGGTATTGTTCATAACTCAAGACATGATCACTACCTTGTAAAATTCTCAGAGGGATTGATTCCCATCCTACTTTCTGGAAAGAACTAAAAATAGACATATCAATAGAAATGCTATTTTCTATGTTGACATCGATATTTCCTACTTCCGCATCTTACTATTTTATACTTATTACATACTTACTACATCTTACTATAAGATCTTACTATTGAAACCAAAATAAACTCCGTAGCACGAAAATTGAGGAGAGAAACTAAAAAGTATACACATTTTAGTGCCAGTGTAGTGGGCATGTTGATGGGTGCTCATTCCCAGGTATGGCTCAGCCGATTTTCGGGTTAGCTGCCGGGTGGCACGCTGGACTTTGTTTGGCCTTCTATGTATACATTCCTTTAGAGAATTATATTGCAAACAATTTTACATCAAAATGAACGACGTAGCACGATAATTAAAGTGAGAAAACTGAAAAAATTATACACATTTTAAAACGATCTAGTGTTTTTTAATGAAAACGAACCATTTTAAGGTGCTTTTCTAAAACACCAACTGCATCTTATAATGTTGATTGAATGTATCTATAAAAAATAATTGACAATGCGATTGGAATGATATTCAGAGAGGTTTCATAGATCTAATATTTTAAAACGATCTTGTGTTTTTTAATGAAAACGAACCATAAGGATTATTTTTAAGGTGCCTAATAACTTTTCCATTACATAAAGCTGCATCTTATAATGTTGAGTGCATCAATAAAAATATATCATTGGCAATGCTATTGGTATGATATTAAGAGAGGTTTCATAGATCTAATATTTTGAGACGACCTTGTGTTTTTTAATGAAAACGAACCATAAACGATTATTTTTAATGTGCCTAAAAGCTTTCCCAATACACCAACTGCATCTTATAATATTGAGTGTATCTATAAAAATCCTTAACAATGCGATTGGATTTTGGGCAGGCAGGTTACTGTCACCTGATGTTCATGTAATCAGGGTAATCTCACATCTAATAATAGTGTTTCACTCATCCACTATGATGATTCATCTGATCAAGTGAACATCAGGTGACCTAAATCTTTTCCTATTGGTGGAGAAAATTTTTCCATCGATCTAATCTAGCTTTGTGGCCTGCATAACTGCATACAGTATATATAAAACTAAACTCTTATTCTTTTTTTATTAAGTAAATAATATATTATTATTATTTAGTAATTATTAAAAAAATAGAAAGAGTAGTTACATATATACTGGTTGAAATTTTATTTTCATCCAGTATGTATGGATGTTATCACTGCATAATATATTCCATCTGTTAGGTACTCTGACAATTTTCCTTGTACACTCTAAGTTTTCCGAAGCCTCTCCATACATTGACCAGCAAAACGATTCCTTTCAACCCTCAGATTTCATGAAATCTCTTATCTAGGGGTATCTCTCTCTCTCTCTTAACGAACCATAAATTATTATTTTTAATGTGCTAATAGCTTTCCTGGTGTGGGTAGGCGCTCACGAGAAATGCCACATCCACTCACTGTAGGGTGTGCTGGGGATCACCTGGTGGGCCAGGCAAACGATCGCGTATTTTTTTTTTTTTTTTTAGAGAGAAGCTCATGAAACCTCAAATTGAGAGATTCGTCATAGTCCGTGCTGCTTGGAACATTTTGTTCTGCATAGCAGAATCCAGTTTCTATCTTTTTGGTGGGGGGTTCTCCTCCTTCTCCTCGTACAGTTTGTGGTTCTCCTCCTCCTCCTTGTCCTACTGTTTGTGGTTCTCCATCTCCTCCTTCTCTTCCTACTGTTTGGGATTCTCCTCCTCCAAAATGAGCTTGTAATAACTGTATTATGTGCATTCCTATTGCTTGTGATTCTCTTCGTCGTTCTCCTGCCGTTTCTGATTCTCTTCTCCTCCTACTGTTTGTGAATCTCTTCCTGCTCCTTCTCCTCCTACTGTTTGTGATTCACTTCCTCCCCCTTCTCCTCCTACTGCTTCTGATTCTCTTCCTCCTCCTTCTCCTCCTACTGCTTCTGATTCTCTTCCTCCTCCTTCTCCTCCTACTGTTTGTGATTCTCTCCCTCCTCCTTTTCCTCTTACTGTTTGTGATTCTCTTCCTCCTCCTTCTCCTCCTATTATTCTTGATTCTCCTCCTCCGACTAACGTCTTCTTCTCCGACTAACACATAAATGTTAAATTTAATGCTAGCAAATGTGTCTGAGGAATTAATATTCTTAGCCAACATTTTACATTCCACCTCATTACTACCGTCTTGGAGTTCAAGTTTCATAATAACAAATGGGGGCAAGGAATTCTCTTTAATCGGAAACTGATTCATATAAAATCCCTGAAGATATATATGATGACTTGTTGCATGGGAACATGAAGTCCATAACTTGTTCATGTCAATTATTTTTCTTTGTTTATATAATTTTGTAAAATTGTTCTTTAATTTGTTGTCTTTTGTTTCACTTAGATCTGTATAAATGTCAGGTGTAAAATCAGAAATATTCCACGGAAATATTAAAATAATTGGATTTTTTTAATATTATCCCATATCAGAATTAAAAATTGGCCTAACTTTATTTATGTAAAATGAATCTTTTTTATGGAAATATTTGTGGGCTTGATTATAATTTGAAAGAAAGTCATTAAAGGGTTGTATTAATGTCTTGACAGTTTCGGCGATTTTTTAGGATTATACAAAAATGGTGGTTTGGGAACAATGAAGAGACCTTTCAAGTATTTATATCTTTAATAAAAGGGGTGAATAATAATTTTAAAATGGATTGCTTGACGACGAATTGTAATGTTTGCTGGATTATGGATTGTAGTACCTCTTGAGGTACTTTAGAGGACTCTATTTGACTGATGACTAACTGCAATGTTTGATCGATGATGGATTGTGATATTTCTTGTGGTACTTTATGTACTTCATAGAGCTCTGCTTGATTGATGAGTGATTGACCGATGATGGATTGTAATGTCTCTCGAGAGAATTCAGAGAAACCTGTTTGATTGATGGGGGAATGTAATGTTTCGTGCGGTATTTCTGAAGATTCTGTTTGTAATGTTTCAAGAGGTACTTCAGAGGAAACTGTTTCTTCTTCTTCCTCGACTGGGGAGCCGGTCGGCCGACCGGCTTCCCCGCTCGGCAGAGCAAACAGCACGCTGGACTTGTGATCCTGTGGTCCTGAGTTCAATCCCAGGCGCCAGCGAGAAACAATGGGCAGAGTTTCTTTCACCCTATGACCCTGTTACCTAGCAGTAAAATAGGTACCTGGGTGTTAGTCAGCTATCACGGGCTGCTTCCTGGGGGTGGAGGCCTGGTCGAGGACCGGGACGCGGGGGACACTAAAGCCCCAAAATCATCTCAAGATAACCTGACCTCCACATTATTGTTAAATTTAATGCTAGTAAATGTATCTAATGAATTAACATTCTTAGCCTCTATTTTGCATTCTACCTCATTATTATCTTCTTGAAGTTCAAGTTTCATTACCACATAAGGCGGTAACCCAGCAAACAATTTTAGGTTGCCACAACATATCTGGAAAGTATTTGAAAGGATTGGAAACGTTTGTTTTATCGTATCAGATACGTATTAGTGTGTGGACTTAAATAGGTTTCCAAAACTTATAACCAAAACCTATGTATCTAACACTAATTTGAGATGTTGTGGCAACTTTACAATCCTAACATGAGTCATTCATAATCCATTCATATACCAATATGAATCTCTTATGAAAGGTTTGAGCCTATAATCTGAACCCTTTTCACATCTTTGTGTTTAAAGTTAAATTTCTTGAAATTAAATTATATTATTTTATATTATATTATTTTTATTATATTTTATTTTATATTATATTATTATTTTCAATTTAAATATTAAAACCAATTTAAGGGTAAAAAAAAATCTAATAATTTATATTTCTTTTATTATTTACTAACAATTATAATTATTTACTAACGGAGAGAAGGGAGGCTGTACGGTGGACAGTGGCGGCTGTGGCGGACAGTGGCGGCGGTGGCGGATAGTGGCGGCGGGCGGACAGTGGTGGCGGGCGGACAGTGGCGGCGGTGGTTGCAACCCGTTCTCGCAAATTTAATAAGTCAATATTGACTTATTAAATATGTGCATAGGTGACATACTTAACATAATAGATACCCTTAAAAAGATTCATAGAAAACACCGACCTTACCTAACCTACTTAGTATGTTAAGATAAGCATCTTATTGCTTCGTAATTACAATTATTACCTAACCTATAATAGGTATAGGTTAAGTAATAATTGTAATTACGAAGCATTAAGATGCTTATCTTAAGATACTAACAAGGTTAGGTAAGGTCGGTGTTTTCTATGAATCTTTTTAAGGGTATCTATTATGTTTAATATATCACCTATGCACGTAGTTAATAAGTCAATATTGACTTTACGAATTTGCGAGAATGGGTTGGGTGGTTGACAGTGGCGGCGGTGGCGGATAGTGGCGGCGGGCGGACAGTGGCGGCAGTGGTGGACAGTGGCGGCGGGCGGACAGTGGCGGCGGTGGTGGACAGTGGCGGCGGTGGTGGACAGTAGCACGGGCAGACAGTGGCGGCGGGCGGACAGTGGTGGCGGTGGCGGATAGTGGCGGCGGGCGGACAGTGGCGGCATGCGGACAGTGGCGGCGGGCGGACAGTGGTGGCGGGCAGACAGTGGTGGTGGTGGCGGACACTGGCGGCTGTGTCTGACGGTGGCGGACAGAGGCGGCGGTGGCGGTGGTGGCGGGCGGTGGTGGCGGGCGGTGGTGGCGGGCAGTAGTGGTGGGCGGTGGCGGGCGGTGGCGGGCGGCGGCGGCTGTGATGGGTGGTGGCGATCGGCGGTGGTGGCGATCGGCGGTGGTGGCGGCTGGCGGTGGCGACTGTGGCAACAGGCGGTGACGGCTGATAGCGGGCGGTGGTGGCGGCTGGTGGCAGGTGGTGGCGGTGGTAACGGCTGGTGGTGGCGGCTGGTGGCGGGCGGTGGCAGCTGGTGGCGGCGGCTGGTGGCAGCTGGTGGCGGTGGTGGCGGCTAGTGGTGACGGCTGGTGGCAGTGGCAGCTGATGGCGGCTGGTGGTGGTGGTGATGGCGGGTGGTGGTGGCGGTGATGGCGGCTGGTGGTGGCGGTGATGGCGGCTGGTGGTGGCGGGTGGCGGCTGGCGGTGGCGACTGTGGCAACGGGCGGTGGCGGCTGATGGTGGGCGGTGGTGGCGGCTGGTGGTGGTGGCAGCTGATAGCGGGCGGTGGCGGCTGGTCGCTGGCGGTAGTGGCGGCTGGTGGTGGTGGCAGCTGGTGGCGGGCGGTGGCGGCTGGTGGCGGTGGCAGCTGATGGTGGCTGGTGGTGGCGGTGATGGCGGCTGGTGGTGGTGGTGGCGGTGATGGCGGCTGGTGGCGGGCGGTGGCGGCTGGTGGCGGTGGCAGCTGATGGTGGCTGGTGGTGGCGGTGATGGCGGCTGGTGGTGGTGGTGGCGGTGATGGCGGCTGGTGGCGGGCGGTGGCGGCTGGTGGCGGTGGCAGCTGATGGTGGCTGGTGGTGGCGGTGATGGCGGCTGGTGGAGGTGGTGGCGGTGATGGCGGCTGGTGGCGGGCGGTGGCGGCTTGTGGCGGCTGGTGGTGGTGGTGGCGGCGGTGGTGGGTGATGGTGGCGGCTGTGGTGGGTGGTAGCGGTGGTGATGGGTGGTGGCGGCGGTGATGGGTGGTGGTGGTGGGTGGTGGTGGCGGCGGCTGTGGTGGTGGCGGGTGGCGGCTGGTGGTGGTGGGTGGTGGCGGGCGGTGGTGGCTGTGGTGGCGGGTGGCGGCTGGCGGTGGCGACTGTGGCAACGGGCGGTGGCGGCTGATGGCGGGCGGTGGTGGCGGTTGGTGGTGGTGGCAGCTGGTGGCGGGCGGTGGCGGCTGGTGGCGGGCGGTGGTGGCGGCTGGTGGTGGTGGCAGCTGGTGGCGGTGGCAGCTGATGGTGGCTGGTGGTGGCGGGTGGCGGCTGGTGGTGGCGGTGGTGGGTGGTGGCGGCTGGTGGCAGCTGGTAGCGGGTGGCGGTGGTGGGTGGCGGCTGGTGGTGGTGGGCGGTGGCGGCTGGTGGCGGCCACCTGGGACACACCCTTCACCACTGAAGGTCTGAGCACAACTAACCATGTGTCTCTCTCACCACCAGTCTAGTGTTGCCAGCTCGCACTCTCAAAATGTTTACTTCAAAGATTGTATATTATCTTTGAACAACAAGTTTGACTCAAGGAAATAAAGCATATATTATTGTCACATTAATACTGTGCAATATCTTATTACATTCCTGCTAAATAATTATAATTTGAAACAGGACAAAAAATCCAACATATATATAAAAACCAACATTAGAGATCACGAGGCCTAGGCCTATCTGTGACCACACATCCTGCTTCCCTGGCCTGCTACCCTCTCACACCTCACACTCTTAACTCACTCTCATAATCACTCTCACTCTCAATCACTCTTACGCACTATTACTCACTCTTACTCTCAATCACTCTTACGCACTATTACTCACTCTTACTCTCAGTCATCCTTACTCACTCTCATACTCACTCTTACTCTCATACTCACTCTTATTCTCTGTCACTCTTACTCTCATACTCA